GGAAGGAAAGAGAGAGGGAGAGAAAAGAATGTGAGAGAGAAACATCAATCAGTTGCCTTTTGTATGGGCCTCAACCAGGGACCAAACCTGCAACCTAGGCATGTGTACTGACCAGGTATCAAACCCATGACTTTTTGGTTTATGGGATGATACTCTAATCAACTGAGCCACAGCAGCCAGGGCAGTGGCCATTTTTAAGTACATTAAACAAGGATAGACTTATGTGGTAGGGAGCTGGGCTATTTAAGATATGGATCTGTTTATTTTAAAGGATGCACTAAAGAATGCCTTGACCATCCATGCCTTACATAAATGATGAAAACCTGCCTATAAATATTTAGTTCTGCTAACTTATGTCTTCCATTAACAAGTTATATTTGCAACCAACAATCCACTAATAAAGCCCTTTGAAACTTTTATCTTTACCTAGCAGAGAGTGGTAAGGCTGTTGGTGAGCAGGATAATAATCTGGTTGAGCTGTTTATAATGAAGCTTCATTACCTTGAAGTGTTATGAATTCTCAAATTATATCTCCAAATTACTTTACATATAGTTCAAAAATTAGAAAACTGTTAAAATTTTTAAAAACTGTAAAAAAATCAAAAGAAATACTTCCCTTATATCAATTCCTATTATATCAGAAATGTGCTTTTCCCCATTAATTTGGCTCTATGAATTACACCAAAGAGCTTGGATAATTACATTTTGGAGTTCATAAAGTACTAAAAACAGTAACATATACAATCCATTTAAAAGTGATGTAGTTTTGGCTTCAGAATTTTATTCTAAAGGTTGTACAGGGCCAGATTATGAGGCTGTTGCAAACCTGGGAAATCTATCAGATGCATGAGATGTAAAAAAAACATTGGAAAGACAAAAGTAAATACATTTTCCATTTGTACAACCATTCACTGGTAATGGAACCATTCAGTTAACCAATGGTTAACTAGTGAATTATGCAAAAGTAACCATTCAGATTTCTCTCTCTACATGAGTCACATTACTGTGATTTCTAGGACTTTTGGTAAGTTAAAATACTTGTTTATTAAAAAAATAAGTGTTTTAATGAAACATTATAGTAATTAAAAGTATAAAATCTCAGGTACTTAACTGAAATTAAGGCATGGGCCACCATAAAAACATTATCACTAAGAGTGCTGTATTGTGCCAGGACATGCTACCTTGTGAGTGTCCAATTCTTTTAACCTCAATCTATTTGGATAGCACAGGGCAGGGTGAAAATGGGCAGCTTATTTACAAACACATCACACATAGGTGACCAAGAGAAGGTATGCATTAACATGTTAAAATCTTGAAAAACCTTTCCGAAATCACAATGATATACATACCCTTTCACACAAAACGTATGTTATTATCATGTAGCATGTTAAGATAGCATGTAGCTTCTTCATATCCTTTTCCCTTTCACAGAATTCAATTATTAAAACCATCATACAACTTGTGGCTCAATCTAAAATAACTTCTCCTAAATTCTCTTAAAGTGATCAATCCTTTATAAACACTAGAGAACATATACCATTAATTTTCATGACAAAGAGTCCCAATGCTTAAGAGGCTTAACACTCATATATCAGTCATGGCTGCATGGCTGGGAAAATGAACATCATGATGGACTCCTGCATTCTTCACACTGTGCTCATGGACAAAGTCTGTGTAGTTTCTATGTACAGGCTGGGATGGGGACAAGGCCCTTGTGTTCCACTGGTTTCCACCACGTTGACTGCAGTCACTGGCAGCAGAGAGCCTGGATGGTTGGGGAGTGGGAGGGGAGCACAGTTAGTCAATAGGAAAAGGAGAAAATTGGTGTGTAAGAGGTAATAAAGGAGAAAGTGGCATGCACCACTGCTACAAGCGGTTAATGACATCTCCATGCAAGTACATTCATTCAGTAATAACAAAGGTAGGGAAATCGCACAAATTTACATGTACGGAAAATGTCTACATGAAAATATGTATAGGTAATCAGTCTGTTAAGTGAATTAAATAAAGAAGAAATTTCACAGACAGCAAGACACTCTTTATCTGTCCCTGATGTTGCTACCAAAATCAAGGCAGAAATATTGTTTGAGGTTCTAATGAGAAGAAAAAATATTATAATCTAACAATTCAAATATCTGATAGGACAATTTTACTTAAGGACAAAGGCACATATAAAAAAAACAATTTTAAGAATTATTCCCCACATTAAGTGATTTCAAAAAACTGAAATCCAAGAAACAAAATTCAGAATGAGCATTTTTTAAAAAGTCTATCCTCAGAGGCCATCTAATTTTATATCAATTCCTTTTATATCAGTTCCTAATTACAATAAAGAACCACTGTTCCTTCTATAATCAAGTTTCACAGGAGCTCAGAATTAAATTCAACAAGTATAGATAATGTGATGAGATTGTAAGCCCCCTCCAAGAGTAGCTTAGTAACTGTATTAGATGCCTTTTAACCACAATGCTACAGAAGAGGTCTATAGAACTATGAGAGTGAAACACACATACAAACAATTCCTGGTTAGAAATTATCAGAGTCCTCCAGTAGAAAGAAAACATTTAGTAAGGTTGAGAAAATTGAGGTATTATAATATGGCAAAAAAAAAAAGGCAGCACATATTTAAGATAATGACAAAAAATCATTTCAATTATAAAAGATGTCTAAGGATATTTAAATACAGTATTTTTCTAACTCAATCAAAACATGAATTCACTATTTTTCCTTGGGGAAACTGAAAAGAACTGGCTAAAAGAATTTCTCGGAACAAACTTGGAAGTCTTTTTTACAATAAAATAATCTTTCCTGCAACTGAAATACAATTTCTTCATCAGATCTAACCCATATAATAATTCATGACCCTCAAAATAGGGTCACTGAAAATTTAGGACATTAAATTAGGTTTATGCTTTCCCCAATAAATACAAGATTTTCCTAAATACTATTCAGTTTTGTTTTTGATTTTATAAATGACTTAAGGGGTAAAAAAAAAAACCCCTTTCTTAAAGTTGATACTTATTAGACAATTCTAAGTTACTGATACACTAAATCATTCACTGAAACAATGGTGCCATTTAAAAGATATTAGAAAGAAAACAGGGAGTAGGTTTAGATTAAATTAGTTAAAAGTTTATCTGCCAGGAACAGAATAGTCCATTATTGTGCCCAACTGCTCAAACCTAGGGAGCATTTCAAAATTTTATTAATGTTTCACTTTCTAAAAGAGGACTTTTATATTCACTTAAAAGTATTAATAAGAATCAAAACATGCAGAAACAAAGAATGAAATGCAGAATGTATTTTAAATTAAGGCTGGGGAATCCATTAACTCCAAGACATGTTGGCTCTGCATTCTGTTCCATGCTACTGTTGACATACTCTGAGGCTCTTCAGGTTTTGAAGGTCACCATTTTACTCCTTTTCAGCAAGGGAGGTCTCAGCACAATTACATGAAGAAAGGACACAGAGCTCCAAATGTTTCATTTTCCTTTTAAGTCAATACTCTCAAATTCAGTATTCTTTCTTTAAAGGCTGCATCAAAGGAACTAAGTAATGCCTAACAAATCAAATTAAACAGATTTAAATATGTATCCACAGAGGCTGGAAAACTCAATAAAGATTTAGTGTCATAATACAGGATGCAAACAAACCACAGACTCTTGTTCCATATTAATATAAAAGGTAAGCACCTATTCACAGGAGTTCTTTTATATTTGAAGTCTCGGTACTATGTTTCCTTGCCAATAGACTTGGTGGTAACATCAAGGAGATAAACAAAAAAAATATGACTGCTTACTGGAGCTGTGTTTTCAGTAAGAAACTGAAGAAACTTTTAATGGCTTAAAACAATAAAGACTAAAATTTGACATTTAGAAGCCTCACTGTTCATACTTTAAGTATGTTGTGCCTACATGCACACGCACGGATTCCCCCCACCCCAAATATACACACCATACTCTCAAGAGAAAAAAAAAGAGAAAGAAAAATAGGGTGGATCTCCTCAATTTCAGAAACTAAACAAGTTATCTGGAACTGAAGTAAAAACATGACCAACCATCAAGAGCAAAGCGCCTTGCAATTAGTTAAGCCAAAATAACAGTGAAACACAATTACATAGGAAAGACTGAAAATGATCACCAACCACTGTTGACCCACCACCATGGAGAAGAACTGGTTGCACAGAAAGCTGACCAAAACCTTGAGATCACCACAGAAAGTCATTAGATTTCAGGTAGTAAACAAACTAAGAGCAAGAAAAAAAAGAAAAATGCGATGAATTATTAAAGTTCATTTCATAAATAGATGCAAAACTTGAGCAGATGGTGCAATTAACATAACCACTCAATCACATAATTCCCAAGGAGCCCCCCAAAGCCATAATTGGGAAAGAATCAACCCACTGATTAACCCCAATAAGCCACAAAGTATCCATATTTGTACACTTACTATTAGTCTAAAAACAAAAACAAAAAACTTGGAAACCTAAACAAATGAAATCTCTTCCCTGTCATCAGATTCCCTCTCCATCCCTCAAGCAGAGTATTTTACACTTTGTTTTATTGGACTATGATCATGTTTCCTTTTGGCTTTATCTTCAGTCTTTAAAGAAGAAAACACATCCAAAGCAGTAGCACCATATTGTACGAATAACAGGTAACAAGAATATTTTCCTTATGGATCTGGGAAAAGGTTTTACTGACTATCACTGAAATATTTTTTTAACAGAGAGTCCCAACCCCGACTATTCCCAGACCATGCTAAACAAAATAAGGAGAGCTATCTGACATTTGTCATTTGGACAGCTGTACTCCGGAGCTGCTTCATCTGTATCTCTTTTTTTTTCCTCATCCCAATAACTGCTTAATATGACTCTTTTCAGCTTACAAATATGAATAATTTGCTTTCAATCATATTTAAAGTACTCTATGATTATAGCTGGGCATTTAGTATATGAATAAGCAAGCAGTATTTTATTTTGGTTTAAGGAGTTAACAAACCATTTCCTGTCGTGTTGGTCTGTTCCAGGGCTCCTTGGAAGATTCTCTATCTCCACCAGCATAGGACCAGAGGGAATGGAAGGAGTCACAAGCAGAGTAGATCTCACACCCCAAGCCTTTGGACACAAATTATAAAAATCATCTCTTTTGCCTAGATAAAAGATCTCTTTACCAATGAAAAGAACATGACAATGAAACATAGTGAGCAAATACAATGTAAACAAATGCTTTAATATTATATATCACCCAAGAGATAAAAAAAATATACAGAAGTTTCCCAGTTATACCACTATGAAAATTCAAGTAATACCAGTTTTTGTCATGATTAACTACAATATTCTAGTGCTTCAGAAACTTAATATTAAGAAGTCTTACCTGTTGGGAGCCATTACTTTGAGTTGAAGTATTACTGTAAAAAATGTAAGGAGGGAAAAATCTATTAAAAACCATATATAGGGCTTCACATGGTCAGATGACAATGAAAAGCAGCTTTTATTTTAAAATACATTAATTTTGTTTCAAATAAAAAAATTACTGTTGTTTAAAACTAAGAATATAAGATGATCAGAAAACAATGAGAAAAATGAGATAATTTCCTCTTATAGGCACATACTTGCTTTTCTATAGTCTGCTTACTTCATATTTCCATATATTTTAATTATGCTTTAATTGTATTTTAATTTTACTTTAGATGTACTAAATGTGTTTTAGATGTTCTGCTAATCTTGTTTATTCATTAAACAATATATGTCAAAAGATGAAAAAATAAAGATAGCAGCACAAATGATGCCTTAAATTCAAGGCAGTAAGCACAAACATCCACATAAACTTACCTGTCATTTCTTTTATATGTTCCTACCCTCTAAAGATTTTCCAGTGTGAACAATAGCTCAGCATTTTGTAACTCAAAAGGCCTTAGTATAAACTTAAAGTTAGAAACTTCTCTGTATACCTTCTCTACAAATGATTTATAAGTATTTTTTTAAACTTTTAATTTAGGTTGCACTCTTTTCCACCACCTCCTCACTTAAAAAAAAAAAAAAAAACTAAACCTATAGTACAACAAAATAAACAGCCCCCTGTCAGAACAGCTAAAAAAAAAATTCAATAAAATAAGAACTCAAAGAGGAGATAATACCACAATAAAATGAGTAAAAAATAAAATATACTAACTTTAGACCTTCTAAGAATAATCAGTATTTTGAAGTAAAGAACTCAAACGAGGCAACAAAAAATATATTCAAAGTCATCTGAAAAGTTCTTTGAAAGTAAGAAAATAATGTACAAATTTAATGAGAGCAGTATATTCCAGAAAAATGAGATATAAAATTAAATACATTCAGCTCCTAATGTTAAATTATTGACCTGCAAGGAACAGGAAAGAATATTTCAGGTACCCCAAGAAGACTTAAAAGCCAACCACTGCCAGTACCAGGTTGGCACAGACTTTTCCATAGCAATACTCAAGAATATTATACCCAGCGAAGATGTCACTGTAATAAAAGGAAATAGGCAAAGCCTGTCAAATACAAACTAACTCTCAATGCAGCATCCAGAACCTTTCTTAGAGGAAAGCAAAACAAAAACTATCTGATAATGAAAGACAACCAATTAAGAAAGAACTCAAGAAAGAAGAGGTCTTGCTTTATAAAATGTTGGGTGATGAGGAATGAAACCATTTGATGTTATTTTTAGTTAACTACATCTTTATTACAGATCAAGCCACCAAAATTTGCACTACCATTGATTGGGTTCAAATCCAAGCCACAGCACTAGCTCTGCTCTCCGAACCTCGGGTTCCTCATTTGCATTAGACTATCACAAAGATTAAATGAATTGATAGCAGCAAAGGACAAAGAACAGTGATAAATAAAACTGACCCCCCCAAAAAACCTTAAAAATATATTTAATGTAGATCTGTTGGCAAGGCGAATGTAAAACATATACCTGTCAGGTGGCCCTGACCAATGTGGCTCAGTTGGCTGGGTTTTGTCCCGCAAAGTGAAGGGTCACTGGTTCAATTCCCAGTCAGGGCCTGCGTTACGGGTTTGGTCCCCAATCAGGTTGCGTACAAGAGGCAACCAATTGATGTTTCTCTCACTCTCCTTCTCCTTCCCTTACCCTCTCTCTAAAAATAAATAAAAATCTTAAAAATACACACACACATGTACACACACACATCTGTCAGGCACAAGTTCCTTTTACTAATCACATTGCTCTTCTCAGTGTACATTATATGCTGGTTTAAGTAATCCCAAATATTAATGAAATCTCATCCAACCTGTTTGGTACAGAAATGAGACTCACTATTCCATGATCCACTGGGTTACTCTCTGGAGCTTTTCTTTAAATTGGAAATAACTTCAGGTGGTGACAGATAAAAAAATGAATAACAACATGAGAAAAAATTACCCTAATGAGTGATGTTAACCGGATCAGAGCTCCCTGTTTCCAAACACTTTGAAATGTAAAAGTACTATTTTCTCACAATTATACATATTCTTCCACCTCCACTAATATGAAAATAGGATGCAACACTTATCATTACTGATATAATCCAAGCTTTCCCTTTAAAGAATTACCTGCAATAACTGCCTCTATTTATCATTTCCTCCACCACTTCTCCTCTTTTCTGTTTGTAAAATTCTACCTGCTACGCTTGTATAAAAATGTGAACTACCCTTTAAAATATCACCTCTTCTTAAGATAGTTGTTATTAGCCAAGACTCAGAGAAAATAGGAAATAAAACAGTACAAGGAACATGACTAACATCAGCCAATTTGCACAGTTGTTATTCAGCCCTTGTCAAGTGGTTCAGCTGGTTGGAATGTTATCCTATGCACCAGAAGGTTGTGGGTTTGATCCCTGGTCAAAACACGTATCTCAGTTGTGGGTTCATTCCCCTTTCAGGCTGTGTATGAGAGGCAACCAATCACTGTTTCTCTCTCATATCAATGTCTCCCCTGCCACCCTTCCTCTATCTCTAAAATCAATAAACATATCACTGGGTGGGGATTAAAAACATCACCTGTCATTCAAATTGGCACAGTATGAGGTCAAGAAGCTTTTTTTAAACCAAATAGTTGTGCTCTTTCAAACAGTACTGTTTTCCATGGTTCATTGTATCAAAACTTTTCGTGAAAACAGAATTACAAGGACAAGACTGAAAGGGCATTCATGCCAGTCTCAGATTCTCAAGCACCATTACGAGTAGTGCTCAATAATGTTCAGTCAGGAACACTGGATCCCCCACTACACTTAATTTCTAAAAGTTTATTCTAATAAAAAAATAAAAGTATCATCATTTAAATATCCCATTTCTAATGTGTTTTCAAAGCCAAAGGATTACTAAAGAAGAGACTGAAAAATTACTTATTAAATTAATTTTAATTCTAGGAAAGAGACTATATAGTCACTTTTTAGTCAGAAATGTGCTGTTTCAAAAAAATTTTAAAAGACAAACTTACAAATAAAAACCTTAATTTTGCAACTGGTTATCACTGCTTGAATGCTTCATTTATATATTTCTGCTAACTTCATCAGGTTATAGTTCTAATATTTTGTCCTAGCTTCCCTATCAGGAAAGCAAGACATGATCCATTAAACAAATAAACAAATCAATAAAAACTGTTTGCCCTGGCTGGTATGGCTCAGTGGATTGAGTGCAGGCCTATGAACTGAAAGGCCACTGGTTCAATTCCCAATCAAGGCACATGCATGGGTTGCAGGCCAAGTGCTCAGTTGGGGACATGACAGAGGTAACCAATCGATGTATCTCTTGCACACTGATATTTTTATCCCTCTCTTTCTTCCTCCCTTTGCCTCTTTCTAAATGTAAATAGATAAAATCTTTTTAAAAATTTTGAAAAACTAGCCCTGGCTGGCTGGGCTCAGTGGATTGAGTGCGGGCTGCAAACCAAAGTGTCACAGGTTCGATTCCCAGTCATGGTACATCCCTGGGTTGCAGGCCATGACCCCCAGCAACCGCACATTGATGTTTCTCTCTCTCTTTCTCCCTCCCTTCCTTCTCTAAAAATAAATAAATAAAATCTAAAAAAAAAAAAACCCTTTGAAAAACTACAGAATACCTCTAACATTTCTCCTCCATTATCTTAACAGCATAGCTTATACATAACTACAAGGAAAATAAAATAATAACAGATAAAGAAACTTCAGGAATAGCCTTTCAAAAAGCAGAGTACTTTTGTGGTAAATTACTAATTAAAACCTGGTTTTAGTGGCTTTCTAGGTGAAAAACCAACTGAATAGGACACCCTAAGGCGAGATTGACCACAGTCAGTGTAGACAAATTTTAAAAAGAAATAGATTTAAATGTCCTGAATAGGATACTTTAACAGGCATTCCAAGAGACTTTGATACATATCAAGGTTGAGAAACATTATATAAAACTATACAATGCAGGACTTCTGGCCAAGATGGAGGCATAGGTAGACACACTGTGCCTCCTCGCACAACCAAAAGAAGGACAACAAAAATTTAAAACACAAGAAACAACCAGAACTGACAGAAAATCAAACTGTATGAAAGTTCAACAACCAAGGAGTTAAAGAAGACACATTCATCCAGACCGGTAGGAGGGGTGGAGTCAGGCAGCCAGGATGGAGAGGGCTTGCGGCAAGGCCGAGGCTGGTGGATCCACCTAGGCAGTGGATTGTGGAACAGGGCACGGCACGCAAGGCTGCAGCTGGCTGGCAAGGTGGCAGCTGGTGGACTGGGTGGTCTCACATTCACGTGCAGATAAAACAGGGGAAACTGAGGAGTGGGACTGACCACACAACCCAGGGCCCTGGGGCTGAGAAATAAAGCCTCAAACCACTGGTTGAAACACCTGTGGGGGTTGAGGAGGCAGTAGAAGAAACTCCCAGCCTCACAAGAGAGTTCACTGGAGAGACCCATAGGGTCCTAGAACGTACACAAGCCAACTCACCCAGGAATCAGCACCAGAAGGGCCCAATTTGCTTGTGGGAAGTGGGGGAAGTGACTGAAATCTGGCAGAGAGCAGAGCAGGCGCCATTGTTCCCTCTCAGACCCTTGCCCCACATACAGCATCACAACCCACCAATGTGGGTTACCCTGTCCTGGTGAACACCTAAGGCTCCGCCCCTCACTACATAACAGGCGCAACAAGACAAAAAAAAAAAAAAAGGCCTGAATGGAAGAACAGATCAAAGCTCAGGAGAAAATACAACTAGGCAACAAAGAGATAGCCAACCTATCAGATGCAGAGTTCAAAACACTGGTAATCAGAATGCTCACAGAATTGGTTGAATGTTACAAATTAGATGAAAATATGAAGGTTATGCTAAGTGAAATAAAGGAAAATGCACAGGGAACCAATAGTGATGGGAAAGAAACTTGGGTCTCAAATCAATGGTGTGGATCAGAAGGAAGAAAAAAACATCCAATCAGAAAAGAATGAAGAAACAAGAATTCAAAAAAATGAGGAGAGGCTTAGGAACCTCCAGGACATCTTCAAACGTTCCAACATCCGAATTACAGGGTTACCAGAAGGGGAAGAGGAAGCACAACAAGTGGAAAAGTTATTTGTACAAATAATGGAGAACTTCCCCAATCTGGCAAAAGAAATACACTTCCAGGAAGTCCAGGAAGCTCAGAGAGTCCCAAAGAAGTTGGACCCAAGGAGGAACACACCAAGGCACATCATCATTACATTACCCAAGATTAAAATGAAGGAGAGAATCCTAGAAACAGCAAGAGATAAGGAGGTAATTACCTACAAAGGAGTTTCCATAAGACTGTTAGCTGATTTCTCAAAAGAGAACTTGCAGGCAAGAAGGGGCTGGAAAGAAGTACTCCAAGTCATGAAAGGCAAGGAGCTACATCCAAGATTGCTCTATCCAGCAAAGCTTTCATTTAGAATAGAAAGACAGATAAAGTGCTTCCCAGATAAGGTCAAGTTAAAGGAGTTCATCATCACCAAACCCTTATGATGTGAAATGTTAAAGGGACTTATCTAAGAAAAAGAAGATTAAAAGTATGTACAGTAAAATGGCAATAAACTCACAATTATTAACAACCACACCTAAAACAAAGACAAAAATGAACTAAGCAAACAACTAGAACAGGAACAGAATCACAGAAATGGAGATCACATGAAGGATTATCAACAGGGGAGTGGGTGGGAGAGAGAGGGAGAAAAGGTACAGAGAATAAGTAGCATAGATGGTAGGTAGAAAATAGACAGGGGGAGGGTAAGAATAGTAGTATGGGAAATGTAGAAGCCAAAGAACCTATATGTATGACACATGGACATGAACTCAAGGAGGGAATGTGGGTGGGAAGGGGTATAAAGGGTGGAGAGGAGTGAAGGGGGGAAATGGGACAACTGTAATAGCATAATCAATAAAATATATTAAAAAACTATACAATGTAATATATACTATTAAAATGTACTTATTGCTTCATCAGAAGTTGTACTTCTAGAAGGTGGTTTGAGTACCCTCTCCCCAGCAAAACAAAGATTTAGCTGGTGACAATTATTTTTTAAAAATCATGAAGAGGCACACATCAAGTGGAGAAACATTTATTCAAGAAAATCTTCTAATTTTCAAGAGCCAAGTCATTTGGGCCACAATTTGCTCTCCTTCCCCATTGTCTCAAGTTCAGTTTTGTGGAAGCTCTACTCCAGTTGGTGCAGCCAAGAAAATGGTACTTCTCCAAACAATGCAGACTTTAAATCAGATATTTTAGATACGTTCAGGAACTAAAGATGTAAGGGAAAGGTATGACAAAAATGTCTCCACAAGTAAGAGAATATCAATAAACAGAAAAATTATAAAAAAGAACCAAACAAATCCTGAAACTGAAATACACATAACCGAAATAAAAATTAACTAGGAAAACACAACTGCAGATTTGGAGCAGCAGGCAGGAGAATAAATGACTTTAATATAGGTCAAGTGAAATTATGTAGTCTGAGCTACAGAAAGAAAAATAGTGAATAAAAATGAATCAAGACTTGAATACTTGTAGGACAACATCAGGTGTAGCAATATATATATAATGGGAGTCTCAGAAGAAAAGGAGAGAAAAGAACAAAAAGATAATTTGAAGAAATAATGGCTGAAAACTTCCCACATTTGATGAAAACAATATACCAGAGAAAAGCAACCAGCTCTAGCTGGTGTGACTCAGTGGACTGAGTGCCCGCCTGCAAAACAAAGGATTGTTGGTTTGATTCCCAGACAGGGCACATGCTTGGGTTGTGAGCCAGGTCCTCAGTAGGGGGTGTGCAAAAAGCAACCACACATTGATGTTTCCCCCCTTCTCTTTCTACCTCCCTTCCCTGTCTCTAAAAACAAAAATTAAAGAAAGGAAAAAGAAGAGAAAAGGAACCAAAATCAGTAAGTAAAAATATCTAAAAAAAAAAAAAGCCCTGGCTGGTGTGGATCAGTGGATTGAGTGCCGGCCTGCGAATGAAAGGTTGCCAGTTTGGTTTCCAGTCAGGAAACATGCCTGGGTTATGGTTGGGGTGTGTAAGAGGTAACCAACTGATGTATCTCTTACACACTGATGTTTCTCTCTGCCTATTTCTCCCTCCCTTTCCCTCTCTCTAAAAAATAAATAAAATCTTTATAAAAAAATAAAAAGAAACACAACCAGAAGAAAACTGGATTGGCAGTACTTTTCACAGATAAAATAGACTTAAAAACATTAAGTTAATAGAGAAAAAGAGGAACATTTTTATCACAATAAAAGATTCCAATGCCCTGGCTGGCGTAGCTCAGTGGATTGAGTGCGGGCTGCGAATCAAAGTGTCGCAGGTTCAATTCCCAGTCAGGGCACATGCCTGGGTTGCAAGCCACAGCCCCCAGAAACCGCACATTGATGTTTCTCTCTCTTTCTCCCTCCTTTCCCTCTCTAGAAATAAATAAATAAAATCTTAAAAACAAAACAAAAATAGCCCTTAAAAAAAAAGAATCCAACAATTATAAATATATATGCACCTAACAAAAAGCGCCAAAATATATGAAGCAAAAACTAAAAGAACTGAAGAGAGAAATAGAAAATTAAACAATAACTGAAGACAATAATATCATAGGTCTTAATAATAAATAGAACTAGACAAAAGATCAATAACGAAGTATAAGTCTTGAACAGTATAAACTCACTACAGCTAACAGTCACCACAGAACATTATATCAACAACGGAATATATATTCTTCTCAAGTTCACACAGGTCATTTTAAAGGAATCAAAGTCATATGAATCATATTTTCTAACTAATGCATAAAATAGAGAAAAATTGATGAAACCAAAAGCTGTTCTTTGAAAAGGCTAACAAAGTTGACAAACTTTACCTACAATGACAAAGGAAAAAAAGGAGAATAAAATTACTAAAAAAAAAAGAAAGTTTAAAATATTCACAAATATGCAGAAATCAAGTAACATCCTTTCAAGTAACCAATGGATCAAAGAAATCACAACAGAAATTAGAGTAATTTGGGACAAGTAAAAATGAAGAAATAACATACAAAAACTTATATAATATGATTAAAGCAGTGCTTGAAGAAAAATTTATAGTTATAAATGTTGTATTAAAAAAGAATAAAGATGCCCTGGCCTACAGGCTCAGTTACTTGGAGCATCATTCCATATACCAAACAACTGAGGGTTTGAGCCTCCAGTCAGGACATGTGCAAGAGGCAACTAACTGATCAATGTTTCTACCTCTCATCAATGTCTGTCCCTCTCTCACTCATTCATTCCCTCCCTCCCTCCCTCCTTTTTTTCCTCTAAAAATCAATGAACATATCCTTAGGTGAGGATTAAAAAAAGAAAAGAAATCTCACATATCAAAAACTTCATCTTCTACCACAAGATACTAGAAAGAGAATCAAATTAAACCTAAAACAAGCAGAGGAAATGAAATACATCACAGGAAAAATTGCATAAAATAGAGAAAAATTGATGAAACCAAAAGTTGTTCTTTGAAAAGGCTAACAAAGTTGACAAACTTTACCAACAATGACAAAGGAAAAAAAGGAGAAACTCAAATTACTGAAATAAAAACTGAATAAGGGGTCATCACTACCAATCTTACAGAAATGAAAAGAAAATAATATGAACAACTGTATGCCACAAATTATGTATCTTAAATGAAATGGACAAATTCTAGAAAGACAAAAACTTCCAAACTGACTCAAAATTAAAATGAAACATGTATAGACCGGTAACAAGAAACTGAATTAGAAAATTTTAAACTTCACAGAGAGAGAAAGTCCAAGCAAGATGGCTTTAATAGTGAATTCTACCATATATTTAAAAAATTTATTCCAATTCTTTACAAACCCCTCCCCAAAAAAATAGGAGAGAAGGAAATATTTCTCAACTCATTCTGTGAAGCTACTATTCCTCTGATACCAAGCTAGATGAAGACATCACAAGAAAACTGTAGGGCAGTGTCTTGGATGAATACAAACTCACAAATCCACAATAAAATATTAGCCAAATCCAGCAACCTGTATTATAAAGTAGGATTATACACCATGAAAGTAGAATTTATCCCACAAATACAACTGCTTATCTTCAAATCAGCCTTTCTTCTTTGAGCTCCTTGTGTGCAAGGATAATGACTCATTTATCTTTAAATCTTCAGACATGTGCCAATAACAAATGTATGTCATTCTCACTATAAATAGCAATACACACCCATTCCACTCCTCGTTTCTTTCAACTGCTTTATTTCTCTTTTTGTCAATTTTATCTGGCATTATATGTTGTTCCCAAATGCTTAGAAACAATACTTTGATAGATATTCAACAAACATGTTTAATTAATGACAGCAACTACATGAATTCTTAAAAATTCTATGTCAATTCCTAAGTTGCAAGGCATTACCCACCTGAGTTCTTCAGGTCTTGCCGTACTTGCTGACACAATACAAAAAGAAAACACCCAATTAGTTTTCTCTGACATGGTAAACTGCATCACTACTCATAAAAGTAAATCTGGACTAACTGCTTTGTAAGCCATGTATCTCAAACACAGATTTAAAAACCTTCATTTCACAAAAGTGTTGTAGGATTCACATCATTAAAGTCAACATGACAATTACTTTCATTTTTTAAATAAAGCAATAAATTAAGCATACATCTTTTCAAGCTGTCAAGAGTGAGCTGAGTGACAATGGAGTATTGTCGGTTCAAACTAAGAGTTAACTTAGGATTTTAAATGATCACAAATTGAAATGGCTTAACTAATAGCTATTATTTAACTTATAACCATACCAAAAGTTATAAAGTATAACTCAATTATTTTAAAACATTGACACTATTGCCCTGGCCAGGTGGCTCAGTTGGTTGGAGCTTTGCCCCATACACCAAATGGTGGCAGGTTCAACCCCTCAGTCAGGGTACATACCTAGGTTTGTGGGTTTGATCCCATCGAGGCACATATGGGAGACAACCAATTAATGTTTCTCTCTCATATGCCATGTCTTCCTGCCTGCCTGCCTGTCTCTCTATCTCCCTTTCCTCTGTCTCTAAGACCAATAAGCATATCCTCAGGTGAGATAAAAAAAAAATTGCTGACACTGCCAAGCATCAGGTCATGGTGGTTATTTCTGGACAATCAGTGATGACCCTAGTACTGGACATACTTAAAGTTCAATCTGTATTTTAATACAAACTTAGATTTGAAATCAAACACTACTTTTGGTAAAGCATGTTTGTGGTTATGTAATTAAAGTAACTTGCAGGAAGTAACGTTTATGAATTTGTCAATGTCAGTATATGATACACACTAATGATTTACATTCAGAAACTGTTATGGAATTCTTAATGATATTATAATACCATATGACATAACTTTTACTTAAAATGTGTTAATCATTTATCAATGTTTTGTGAAGTTTCTAAGGGGATTTTGAAGAGTATTATGAATGAGATCTAAAAGTCAAAAAGAGAAGGAGTAATGTTATATATATATAGTATGTATATATATATAAATATATATTAATAGAATTAATAGAATATAATAAATATAATAGTTAATACAAACGAAAACTGAACACAAACTCAGGATAGTGTTTACATTCAGATTAACATAAAAATTATTCTCAGCAACCACGTAGGCAATTATTCCCTTTGTGTTTTATTAAATTGATTATATCCAAACCAAATTCAATAAATAAAAGTACTTTAGTTGACTGGAATACACTTAAAATTCAGACAACATCCTCTCAAGTAAACAGCAGCAGCACCATGAATTGTCAAGAAAGAAGAGTCCTTTAAAAGACTGTTGCATTTCACCTTTCATCTGTAGAGTTCGTCGAGAATATCGTTTGCTGGGCCTCCTTTCAAAGGATGTTGATCTTCTTGCTTTATTTGTTTTTGTGGTCTGATACTCAGTTTTCCCACTAAAATAAATAAGCACATTAATAGAATAAGAGTATTTATGACCTACAATAATCAAATACATGTAAATGAAAGAAAAGTCTAGACTGTGATTCCTCTTTAAAAAATCCATCTTGAATTTCATCCTGAGGGAACTGCTTTTAATAACAGTCTTGACGTCTCTCTTTACCATGTCATTCTTTCACTCTTTAGGCTTGCGTGAAATATGCAACACAAAATATATTGTTTTTTGTTAAGCATGCACATCACCTAAGAACATATTAAATCAGTTTGAGATATCTGTGCTTTTATGGAACTTCCCTCCCCTCCTCATTCATAATCCTCAATGGAAAGTATGTAATTACCTCAAGATTTTCAGTTACTTTTTCTAATAGTGACAGACCTTCCAGAATAATTTTTCCAGAAATATTTAAATTATTGTCCCACTTGCCGTGATTTCCATTTAAATTCTGTTAAGAAAATGTCTCCCCACTTTCAATACAGATAGAAGCTCTCTTAATGAATCCCACACAATCATCTTGCAACATTATTTATATTCCTTCTTTAAATCATATTAACTGAGTCTCATGACATGCTGAAAAGTCACAACCAATAATCTACTTTCAGGTAAACCAAAATATTTCTAACTTACCAACAAATAAGGAGTCTGTAACAATGGAACTTCAGGTTTAAAAAGGACCCAAAACGTTATCCAAATTAATTTCCCACCCAGTGCAGGACATCCTTTTTCTATATGGTGTTCACTCTTGGATCCAGACACCTTCAAGTTCTTGTTGTATGGATTTAAATTGGGGGCTAATTAATATATAGAGTAAATGTAAACAGGGATACAAAATCCATCGCACCATTATATATTTCCTATCAATTCTGGAAATTATAATCAATAATAATAAACTATTATTTTGGCCAATGGAAAACACTGGTGAACCACTTTATTTCTCTATACCCTAATTACCACATCTATAAAATGAGAGAGTGGCCTAAATTTTTTGGACTCTATGCAAAAAAGATACAGCAGGCAGCTATTAATATCAACCTGTATCTAAATCGTGATCCTAGCCGAATAAATCCTGATCGCTGAGAACCCTTCTGTACAGGGCCTCGAAGGCGGAAGAAGGCATGATGCTCCACAGCACATTTCCATAAATGTTTGCATGCTTTAGGATGGTCCAGTCTAAAGACAAATGTATGCTCTTGCTCTTTGCCCTGAAAGAGAAAAGGATTCAAAAAGAGGTAACTATTGGGTTTAACATTCCTGTCTCATTACTTAGCTACAGATACAACTCCAGTGATACTATGAATCAGATAAAGCATTTGGTTGGCTCCCTGAAACTCAAACATTCTTATAGCTACCTATATAAAAAGGAGGAGTTGAAATCTAGCTGTCTATTTTCTCAGCCAAAATAAAATTATTCCTAAAAGGGTCCTCTCTACTTATGCAATCTCACTTCTCAGAGATACATTAAAATGAGGTTGTATCTGCCACACTTTGGGATAAATGTATAATAACAATTTAAGGGATTATACAAGATCTGGCAATATGTATCAACAGACTTAAAAATGTCGTATTCTTTGTCATAGTAACCACACTCACAGGAATTTGATTATGATAGTTAACATTCATAGGCAATTTCCTATGAATTACTTCAACAAGCAGTTACTACTATTAGCCCCATTTCACAGGTAAAGAAACTCAGACTTGAGAAAGTAAACCGAAGATCACAAGGCTACTAAGAGAGGAAACCAGAATTTGAATCTAGCCCTTCAGGCTCCAAAGCTTAACTTTATCATATCTAAGCTATATTGGCTCTCCAGGAAATAAGATTTTCTGGGAAAACGAAATTTACACCCAAAGATTTTATTTAGTGTCATCTATAACAGTAAAAATTGGCCAAAACTTTTAAAAATCCTAACTGTCAAAATAAAAGAATGGCATATTTGAACTAGATCTTCGTGGATATAACCTGTTTAGGTAAAATAAGTAAGCTATATTTATATATAAATTACATATATTATATATATATATATATAATTTATGTATATTTTAAGACCACTCTTAAAATATATGTATTTATATTTGGAAAATGTTAGAAAGTATGAGAATGATACCCTCCTCCAAGAGTGGTGGCCAGCTACAGGGAAAGAAGGGACAAGTTGCAGGGATTAAACCTTAGCTGTATCAAATCTATTATTAATTTATCTATCTCTAAAAGTTAATTCTGAAGGAACAATGCCAAAAATGTTATCTAAATGAGTGAAATGGATACCAGTTTCATAATTTCTTTGAATTTTTTCAGTATAATTAAATATGTAACTTAAAACTACTTTGTCATTTTCTACTCTGGGAATGTGGACAGTCTACATTCCACTGCCAGAAATCAGGGTTTGCACCTTTGCACATGGGACATGGCCCTGGGGGTGGCATAGTACAACCCCTTGCCCAGTGTCCAGGGCATTTACACTTAAAGTATATTTGATCTTTTTGCCCTGGACATTTTTGTGGCTTTCCTGACTTACCCCGACATGGCTGGACATTGCCAATGGCACTACCAACAGCTACGCTATTAACTTGGCCTGCCTTTCCTCCCCTTCTTTCCTATGCTGGATCTGTTCCTTCCTGTCCTCAAGGTATTGGCTGTTAAAAACCAAAAAGGTAGTGTCTATTAGTTGGGCCATAGGAGTTTGTGGACCCATTTGTAACTTCGGAAAGCTTTCTACAAATATCTCGTTCTGACTGGCTAATGAAATGCTGCCCCATTAATACTTGGCCTTCTGGAGAGGATGGATCTAGGTTAGTCTATTTCCTGAATGCCTCCATCAGCCTACTGCAGAACAAAGCATAATTCTCTTCCTGTGCTTGTGTTATTTCTCTGATCTTGTCATAATTTATAGGCTTTCTAATGTATCATTTCACCCAGCTAATAAACACTAAAGCATGGTGAAAAAAATAAACAAAATAATAAAAATATTTGATGAACTCTATATGTAGGGTTTTTTTTTTTAAGATTTTATTTATTTTTAGAAAGAGGGGAAAGGAGGGAAAAAGAGAGGGAGAGAAACATCAATATGTGAGAAATACATCGATTGGTTGCCTCTCACACACTCCCAACTGGGAACCTGGCTGGCAACATAGGCATGTGCCCTGACTGTGAATTGAACCAGCAACCTTTAGGTTTGCAGGCCAGCATTTAATCCACTGAGCCACAAGCAGCCAGGGCTATGTGTAGTTTCTTCATGACCTTGGTATAAGCATAGATTCTTAAATTTTAAGAAATAAAAAGTACTGACCACAAGGAAAAAAATTTATACATTGTATACATTAAAATTGAAACCCTTTTGTATCCAAAAGATACTATTAGGGGAGCCAAAGGCAAGCCAGGTAGCAGAAGATACTAGCAACACACATATCTGAGATAGAACTAATATCTAAAATAGATAAAGAATTTCTTCAATGGGGAAAAAAAAGCACACGATCCAACATAAAAATGAACAAAAGACTTAAATAGGCACTTCATAAAAGAGAATATCCAAATATCCAATAAATATATAAATAAGTGCTATACATATAGTCATCAGGAGAATGCAAATTAAAATAATTCTACTATAGAATGGCTAAAATAAAAAAACAGAGTACCATACCATCAGCAAAAAATAAAACAAAATGAAAAATAAAACAAAACTCATAACACTGTGAGTGGGAGTGTAAACGTATATAAACACTTTGGATGGAGGAGCGAATGGAAGTCACACTGACCTCCTCCCAGGACCAATCTGGAATTACAACTCAATTGTGGAGAAACCACCTGAACAATCAACTGAGCAATAGCAAGAGAGACTCCTTATAACCTCGGACAGACAGAAGAATCAGCTTTGGCACACCTATCTGGTAAGGAATGTGGTGGAGACTCGAGAGCTGGCTGAGTGCCTGGAGGTAGCACAGCTGGAGGGATAATTTAGTGGCTGGTAGGATCCCCCTAAGAATGGGGTCTAAACCCTAAGCCAGGATCCCCAGTCTAGAGCACCAGAGCCCAAAATGTACTGATTAACAATCAGCAGCAAAAAGCAGCAAAGTTGCAAACAGATAGCTGGAGACACAAGAGCCATTTAAAGGGCCAATGCACAAATTTTCATTTAGAGCCACTTATCCTGGGCTCTGGCAAAGGTCGGGGTGCAGAGTGGGCTGATGACACCTGAGGAGACATAAGCTTTGGGGAAAGAACTGAGAGAGTAGACCCTGGGAGACCCTGGGACTCATGGGGAATGAGTCATCCCCCATACAGCAGCAACTCCCCTCTGAACAGCAGCAGCCTGAGGAGAAACACCAGTCCCAACCCCAGGGGGGGTCTCTGCCCTGGTCCTGTGGTGCTTAAAGGTGACTGCCAAGTACAAAGTGACCAGACATATAACCGAAGGAGATAGGCACAGAGAGTAGATCCCTGGCAAAAGGAGGGACAGAGTGGATTAGAGAGAGAGATTTAGGAATGGAGGCTTTGGGGAGAGAACTGAGAGTAGCCCCCGGGGATCCCAGTGCTGAGCCAACCCCCATTAGGCTCCACCTTATGGTGCTTAAACCTGACTGCTGAGTGCAGAGTGACTAGATTAACAACTGAAGGACACAGCTAGGGACAGTAGATCCCTGGAAGTCTCAAATAGGTTGCCTACTACAGTCAGACACAGTCAACATCGGACATCACCAGAGGCAGATCCAGAAAGAAACAAACTGGTATACACAGGAGGCTGCCAAGACAATATCCACTGTGGTCTTCTCCATGATTTGTGGTATTTTCTTTCCTGCATAGCTTTCTAACATTGATTTCTTGTCCAGGAAATTTGTGCATATTGAGTCACTAGATTTTATTATACTATAGTTTATTTCATTTCACAAATTTTGCCCCTCCTTTCTATTACTCCATTTTTTCTTTTATCCTCGTATTATTTTCATTTCAAATTTTATTTTCTCTCTTCCTACAAATTGTTTCCTTTCTACACTCTATTTCTCCACCATCCAGCCTCACAAAACCACTTTTCTTCGCAATGGTCATCTCACATCCTTTTCCCCTCACTCATAAAATACCTGTCTTCTCTCTCCACCTTTAGCCGTCTTTGCTACTTGGTTGTGGATATGGTAGTTGTTGCACTGTTTTTTTCAACTTTTTATCTCTAGAGCTTCACTAATTCTGTATTTCAAATATCAAATATTACTGCTCACCTCTCCTACTTTTTTTCATCTCAAATCTTTAATCTTGCTATCTTAGTCTCTTTTTTCTTTTTTATCTTTCTTCTCTTTCTTTCATCCTGCCCTATTATCTTTCTTTATTCTCCTTTTTCTTTTTTCTTATATCCCAAATTTTAATTTTTCCCTGTCTTAGTCTGGTTTTTATTCCTCACTCTCAGTATTCACTCACCCTCTATCATTTCAAAATCACCTCCCATTCCTCTAGACATCTCTTAGACTTTTCTTTGATTCATTTTCCCCTCTTATTCCTGTACCACCTATATTAATTTTAGTGCATTTCTTGTTGATAGTACTGTGGTGGATCTTTCTCTCCAATTTGGCTCCTATATTTTATAAATTATTTACTATTTTTTCCTTCCTTTTTCTTTCTCTCTCACTTTATTAGATTTTTATTATTTTAATTTCTGTTTAAACCGAGTACTATATGCTTCCCTTTTCATACTCCCTTCCCTTTTTTATTCATGAGGTAAACTCTACTTTCCCTCTTCAAATTGCTCCAAATCCTAATTTTTTGTTTTTTTTTTTAAAGATTTTTTTATTTATTTATTTTTAGAGAGGGAAGGGGGGAGAGAGATAGAGAGAAAGAGAAAGAGAGAGAGAGAGAGACATCAATGTGCGGTTGCTGGGGGTTATGGCCTGCAACCCAGGCATGTACCCTGGCTGGGAATCGAACCTGCGACACTTTGGTTCGCAGCCCGCGCTCAATCCACTGAGCTACGCCAGCCAGGGCTCAAATCCTAACTCTTATTAGTGCTCCTCCCTCTACCCTCTCAAAATGATTTTTCTTTCAGTAGGTCATCTCATAGCCACTCTCTTTTTTTATAATAGTCTTAATCTCTTTACACCCTTATTAATACTGGTTCATTTGCTATTGATAGTGGGATTGCGGTGGGGAGTTGTTTTTGCAGGTGTGGTTTGTTTCCTGGGCTTTGTGGTTTTGCGCTGGTAGCACCTGCACAAGAGTACACAA